AACAAACACAGTCCCAGCATTTGAGATGTATTTTAGGTGTAGATCTAAGAACATCTGCTGTAGCAGTTGGAGCTGAATTGGGAATTCATACAATTCATGCATTATCCAAAATTAGAGCATATAACTACTGGCATAAAGTCAATGAAATGGAGACTGATAGACTCCCCAAGCTATGTCTACTAGAGCAAATAAAATCACAACCACAAATCTCCTGGATCACCAAACTAACAAATTTTGTAAGAAGCTGTGGCCTTCCTGACTCTTGCATAACAAAATGATTTTTAAAAAGAGCTGCCCAGAGAATTAAAGATAAAGAAACACAAAATGACCTAGCTATCCTTAGTAAGGTGGGTAACTTGAAATGACTGAGCAAATACAAACGTACTTTTCAAATAGACAGCTATTTGAAGTTACAACTGCCAAAACATCTAAGGGAGATATTTATGTGAGCGAGATTCGAACAGCTCAACACAAAGGTTAGATGTGGGAGGTTCCATTCCATACCCTACAATGAACATCTCTACATATGCGGAGCACCAGAGGTAGAAAACCTGGCTCACATCCTATTTGATTGTTGCCTGTATAAGAGGGAGAGAGACAGGTATCTCGGTCTATATACCAAACAAATGACCCATTGGGATCTCCATATCAAAACAACTTACCTTATGTCCGGCCAGAATCTGAAAATAACATTTAACACAGCACAGTACTTAAGCAAAATGATTCAGTTGAGATCTGCATATGTGGCACTGATTGGGGTAGATTGCAGGGGTGACACCAAAATATAATTTTATCATATTTTATCTATATTTTAAATTATTTATTTGAGACTATATTTTATTTCAATTTCATTTTATTTTATTCCAATTTCATTTTAAATTGTATTTTATCTAATTCCATTTTGAATTGCTTTTATCAAATTTTAATAATAATTTGTTTCTGAAACTTTGCACTTTGATATGGCCCAATCAATCAATCAATCAATCAATATATTTAAAGGTAACTCACCTGCTCATGTAATTGGTTATCTGGAATCTGCTCAGAGATATCTTCACAACCAGAATTCTTCTGGTACCCAGGAATGTTTACATCTCCCACCGAAAAGACAGGAAAGAGGGGCCTGAGAAATCGGAACTCGCTACTTAAAGATCCACCAGTCAAACAAACATCATAACGGTAAGTCCTGGGAAGCGACCCATTCTGTGAATCTGCACAGTTCTCTGGGGCATCAGCACTGGCAGGTGGGAAGTGAGGAACAGCTGCAGTAAAATGGTTTTGGGGGTCCTTCTTGAGAATTTTGACCACAACAAACACAACAATACAGACCAGGAACACAAAGGAGACAGCAGCCAAGCAGATCACCAAATACTTGGTCAAGGTTTTGTCTTCTTCCGGTTCTTGCACACTGACATCCACCCTCCTCAGGAAGGGATCCGAAAAGCCATCCACAAGAAGGACATTAAGCAACACCGTGCTGGTCTGGGGAGGAAGACCGTTGTCTCTGACCAGAATCACCAGCCTCTGCTTGTTTGTGTCTCGCTCATTCAGGGCTCTCCTGGTTTTCACTTCCCCATTCTGCGCTCCTATGCTGAAAAGGGCTGGGTCCGTGGCCTTCAGCAATTCATAGGAAAGCCAAGAGTTTTGGCCAGAATCTGCATCCACTGCAACCACCTTGGTGACCAGATAGCCGGCCTCGGCTGACTTGGGAACCAGCTCATTGCATGGGGATGTGTTGTTCTGGAGGGGATACAGGAAGAAGGGAGCGTTGTCGTTTTCATCNGATGCGGACAATCACTTGTGAGCTCAGGGAAGGAGAACCACCATCAGAGGCCCTCACAGTAACTCTGAAGCCTCTTATCTGCTCATAGTCCAGGGATCGGAGGGCATACAGGTTTCCAGTTTCAGAGTTGATTGAAATGAAAGTGGGCAAAAGGCCATCACCCTTCCCAGGCAGAACTGAGTAAGTCACTTTAGCATTCTGCTTTATGTCCAGATCCACAGCGTGGATTGAGCCGATGAACAAGCCTGGAATATTATTCTCCCGGATCTGCATGTCATATAAAGGCTTTTCAAAAAGAGGAGGGTTATCATTGACATCAGAGATCTGAACATTAATCAGCCTTGTTGAAGTGAGCCTAGGAGAGCCGCAGTCAATGGCTGTGATGGTGATGTTGTACTCAGTGACCGTCTCTCTGTCTAGGGGACTTTGGAGCACAAGCTGATAAAAGTTGTTTGTGGTGCCTTTGAGCACAAAAGGAAGGTTCATCTCCACGGAGCAGACCGTTTTGCCATTGTCTCCAGAGTCTTGGTCTCTAACACCGAAGAGGGCCACCACCTTCTCCAAAGGGGAATCCTCCTTTAAGATGCTGGTCAGAGATATGATGGACACTTCTGGGGGGTTGTCATTGACATCTTCAACCTCTATTACTATCTTGCCGTGCCCTGAAAGTCCTCCTCCATCTATTGCTCTGATATTTATGCTATAACTCCTTTCTTTTTCATAATCAATCTGTCCCCTAACAGTGATTTCTCCAGTCCTTTCATTTAAAAGGAACAAACTCTTTATTTTTTCAGGCATTCTGTGGAATGAGTAGGTGACTTGTGCATTTGAACCCAAATCAAGATCCATAGCTTCCACTTTAGCCACTGCAGTGCCCGTAGGAAGGTTTTCCTTTAATTTTACCTTATATTCAGATTGGGAAAATTGAGGAGGGTTATCATTTATGTCCAGAACATCAATGTTAATTTGAACAGTGCCTGTTTTCTGTGGTACCCCACCATCAACAGCCATTAGGGTGATATTGAGATGTGGCACCTTTTCTCTGTCTAGTGATCTCTTTAGAACAAGATCCACATTGCTAATTCCATCTTTGTTCTTTTGAACATGAAGCCAAAAATATTCATTGGCGCTGAGTGTATAGTTTTGGATGCTGTTTTCTCCTAGGTCCTCATCATCTGCAGATTCCAAGGGAAGTACCATATTTGTAGGAACATTCTCAGGAATTTCTATCTCAAATTCATTTTTAGAGAACTTGGGAGCATTGTCGTTTATGTCTTCTATTTCTATTTCAATATTATATGATTCCAAAGGGTTGTCAAGCACAATTTGAGAGGTAAGTATGCAAGCATCTGTCTGGCCACACAAAACATCTCGGTCTACTTTATCATTTATCAATATATCCCCAGTATGAAGATCAAGGGAGAAATACTGCTTAGTGTTTTGAGAAATGAGATGGGCTCTGCGATCAATGAATTTCTCTGCTTCCAGTTTCAAATCCTTCAATACATTAGCCACTATAGAACCACTTTTGGTTTCTTCCAGTGTAGAATAATAGATTGAAATACATAATGCTCCAGGAAGACAAAGCAGGCAAAAAAGATACATACCTTGTTTACTCCTAATGCATTGTTCCATGATTCAGGACTCTCCTTAATTTTTGAACAGAATATACAGCTCCTTATTTTCGTCCAGTTATTATCTCTGACAAAGAGCTAATTTCCTGCTGCTTTAGCTCCCAGTTTTCATCTTTTCATTGGTTAAAATCTTCTTGTCTTCTTGCAGGACCCTAGTCGTAGCTTTATGTTCATTTCGTCTCACCCCAAAATTCTGAGTTCCCAGTAATATGTTTGCCTATTCTGCCACCATGTGGCTGTCTGAGGAATTCACCTCTAGGACTGCTTATTATTTAAAGAGTCTGTTCTAAATGAAAGGCAGCAAATCATAGTTTTGAAGGCTCTCTCCCTATTCAAAATATGAAGATCCCACAGGAAATGATGGTTCTTAAGGTTGGTGAGATCCTAGTTACCTCATCCCCAAACAATAATATTATTGTTCAACAGCACATTCAGTGAGAGGGATACAACTCTAGCACTGTAATATAATTTTCCCATGCCCAGAAATAAATTGATTAAAGTGTATCAAAACAGAACAATAAGAGGAAAGGAAAGGATTTATGTTAATCATCCCCATTTAAATTTATCTAATTTCAGCCACCAAAAAACATGAATAAGGTCCGCAGTATATGTAAATATAGGGATTTCCTTATTTTGACCTGGCTAAATAATCTATTTTCCTTTGCATGACCATAAATATCTTAGTAGTGAATTGAATTTGATAGTTTCAATTTGGTAGATGGAAAGATTTACACTGAAAATGAAAGATCTGATATTTTGCCACCAGCTAGAATGCTAGACAGTTGTTGATAAAAACAAAGTTTGATATCACTCCAATGATAATGCAATTTTCTTTGGAAATGTATATATTCTGATGTATGAACATTTCTTTCAGTACAGAACAGAATAACACAGTTGGAAGGGACCTTGGAGTTGTTCTAGTCAAATCCCCTGCTTAAACAGGAAGTATCATTTCAGAAAAATGTGTGTCCAATCTCTTCTTAAAAACTTCCAGTGTTGGAGCACCCACAACTTCTGGAGGTAAGTTTTTCTAACTGTCAGAAATTTCTCCTTAGTTTCTAGGTTGGCTGTCCCCTTGATTAGTTTCCATCCATTACTTCTTGTCCTGCCTTCTTGTGCTTTGGAGAATAGGTTGACTTCCTCTTCTTTGTGATAGCTCTCAGAAATTGGAACATTTCTATCATGTCACCCTCTAATCCTTCTTTTCATTAAACTAGACATACCCAATTCCTGCAACCATTTTTTGTATGTTTTAGCCTCCAGTCCCATAATCGTCTTTTGTTGCTCTTCTTTGCACATCTTCTGGAGTCTCATATTGTGGTGACCAAAACTGGATGCAGTATTCCAAGTGTGGCCTTACCAAGGCATTATAAAGTGGTATTAACACTTCACGATATCTTGATTCTATCCCTCTGTTAATGTAGCCTAGAATTGCATTGGCTTTTTTGGCAGCTGCAGCACTCTGCTGGCTCATATTTAAGTGACTGTCCACTAGGAGTCTAAGATCCATCTTGCAATTACTATTATTGAGCCAGTTATCACTATTCTATACCTGTGCATTTGGTAGCCCTGAATGTGCAAAGTCTTCAGTTGTGTGACACCATTTGAATGATGGCACTTACAAGGATCAGTGAGTTTGTGTAAGTCTGTTTTTCCACCACATGCTAAAAGTAAATGGAAGATTTTGTTTAAAGCTGGAGATTATGACAAAGTGCTTCTTCGAAGTTCTTCTCTGAAGTGATGGGGGACTCCAGTTTGCTCACTGGACTTTTATTTTGCTAGGCAAAAAGCTTTTAACCTTCCTTTCAGCTGCAGTTCTTTCTGGCCTTTCTGAGACTCAAAGAATCATATGAAAATTCTCTATCTTAAACAGGTAAGATGATTTTGACTTTTGAACAGAAATGAATATTACACAAGACAAATGCAGAAAAATAGTGAGAAAAAAACCCCAAAGGAAAGTAAAAGAAAGCAAAGCAAAACAAAATGATTTATTCAGAAATAAATGCAGAACAATGCAGTCTATTTGTGGACACGTTTTTAGAATTAACCATAGAAAAGCTGCTCCCTATGGTATCTTTAAATAATAAAATATTAGAAATTTAACATAGAAAACTGTTGGAAAGGTTTAATATTATTCTTACCTGAGACATCAGTTCATCTTCCTTGACATGAGTTTTGGTATCCTGAGAGTCTGTTGAATTCTTTGGATCCATTGAAAAAATAGGGAATATTGGCCTGAGAAATCTGAACTCACTATTTAAAGATCCACCAGCTAAACATACTTCATAATTGTAGGCCTGGCAATATGCCTCAGAAGTACGATCTCCACAGTTTTCTTGCAAATTGTGTCCCACGGGGAAATGAGATGCAGAATGAGAATTTCCTATGAACTTCCTTCGCTGCTGAAACTTGGTGGCAATAAACACCATGACTGAAAGCAGAAAAATGGATGAGATGGCAACCAAGCAGATAATCAAATACATGGTTAGAGTATGATCTTCCTCCTGCGGGACTTCACCCTTAGGATTATCCATAATTTTCATGTACGGATCAGAGAAGCCGTCCACTAGAAGAATTCTTAGGGTCGCAGAGACAGACTGAGGCGGATGCCCATTATCCCTAACTGCCACAATAAGAGTGTGTTTGAAACTGTCTCGGATGTTCACCGGCCTCGTGGTTTTCACTTCCCCATTCTGAGTCCCAACAGCAAAGAGACTCGGATCTGTGGCCTTCAGCAATTGATAGGAAAGCCAAGAATTCTGCCCTGAATCCCTGTCCGTTGCCACCACTTTGGTGACCAGGTAGCCTGTCTCTGCTCCCCTGGGAACCAGCTCCTTTGATGGAGAAGTGCTGTTCTGAAGGGGGCAGAGGACGAAGGGGGCGTTGTCATTTTCATCTCTGATAAGAACTCGGACCATGGTTTCTGAGCTCAGTGGAGGCGAGCCCTGGAAATCTTGTATATCCTCATAATCCACAGATCGGATGGCATACAGGTTCCCGGTTTCGGAGTTGATGGAGATGTAAGATGATGCGGGGACATCCCTGATTTTTCCAGGCAAAAGCCAATAGGTCAGTTTGGCATTTTGTTCTGTGTCCACATCCACAGCGTGGACTGATCCAATGAGCAATCCTGGAATGTTGTTTTCCCTCAAGTGCAAATCGTAGAAAGATCTTTCAAACATTGGAGGGTTATCATTGACGTCTGAAAGTTGAATGCTAATAACTGTCATTGAAGTGAGTCTGGGAGAACCTTGGTCAGTGGCTGTGATGGTGATGTTATATTGTGACATTTGTTCTCTGTCCAGTGGCTGTTGAGTCATAAGCTGGTAATAATTGTTCTCAATCAGTTTTAATATAAAAGGCAGGTTTTTGTCAGTGTTGCAGGTAGTTCTGCCATTGTCTCCAGAGTCTTGATCTCTTACACCAAAGAGGGCCACCACTATTCCTGGGGGAGAATCTTCTGGTATGGGATTAGTGACAGACGATAGGGTTATTTCTGGAACATTGTCATTCTCATCCTCAATATCCACCTGGACTTTGCAGTAAGCAGACAGTCCCCCTCCATCTGTGGCTTTGATATTCAGTTCATACTTGCTATTTTCTTCATAATCAATTTTCCCTACAAGAGTAATTTCTCCAGTATGATTGTTTAACTTGAATGATCTGAGCACATTTCCTGGTACTTGGCTAAAAGTGTAAGTAATGTGAGCGTAAGCATCTTTATCACCATCACTGGCTGCAACTTTTGTGACCAATAAACCTGGTGGGCTGTTTTCCACAAGCTGCACTTTGTACACAGATTGTTCAAAATGAGGAACATTATCATTTGCATCTAAAATATCAATTATTATTTGCACTGTACCAGTTCTCCTTGGGATCCCTCCATCCACTGCTTGTAGACTTAGGGTAATCTGAGGAATTGTCTCACGGTCTAATGCTTTCTCTAAAACCAGTTCTGCATATTTGCTACCATCAGTGTAAGTTTGCACTTCTAGTTTAAAGTGTTCATTAGGAGAAAGTATATAATTCTGAACATCATTTTCTCCTTTGTCTAAATCTTCAGCCCTTTCCAAAGGGAATCTGGTCTTTGTTGGAATGTGCTCAGATATTTCAAAAAGGAACTCAGTTTTAGAGAATTTGGGAATGTTATCATTCACATCTTCTACTTCTACTTCAATTCCATGTAGCAGTAATGGATTTTCTAGCACAATTTCAGAGAATAGAATACAGGGGTCATTCTGACCACACAGAACCTCTCGGTCAATTGTATCCTTTAATATTAGATTCCCAGAATGAGGATCCAGCTGGAAATACTCTTTAGAGCCCTTTGGAACTAGCTTGGCTTTCCTAGCAGATAATTCCTTTACATCTATTTTTAAGTCTTTCAGCATATTAGCTACTAGAAACCCAGTTTTCTTTTCTTCAGCCACTGAATAGCGCAAAGACTCACACATTTCTAGACAGAGAATATTTATACAGAGAAAAAAAGCCAAAACTTGCCTTTTAATGCAACCTCTTTCCATTGATCCAGGTTCACTTGAATGCAGAATGGAAACCCAGGAATCACTGCCCATAGTTATTCCTCCCAAGGAATCTTTATTTTGTCCTATCTTTGTATCTTGTACTGGACGTTTTCCCCCGCCCCCAGATTTCTTAAGTCTGCTTTTCATAAAGCTCTGTTGCCTTTGTCTTTGAGGTCCGTGTGCATAATAATGTGTTCATTATTTTTTTTGCAGTCCACCAGAAGAGCAGTTGGCTTTTAGATATTGTTCTCTGTTATGCAATAGCACCACCTTGTGCTGCGTTTGTGATACAATATGATACTTCACTTACAGATTCTCTGTAATAAAAAAAAGGTATAGTTCTGTTTACCCTGACTGGAAATCACTCCCAGGGCTGTGGGAGAGGAGACTAGAGAGGGCAGGGAGCGACTGGAAGATTCTACATACGAAAACAGAAAGCTTCCTTTCACATTGAAAGCAGTGGTGGAAACCCTTTTAGGTGAATGGTGGGTTGCAGCGAGATTTTCCTCTAGACTGGCTAAGGGAGGAATGGATGTGGTTGGCCAGGGTTGGCACTCCTTTTACTTTTACATAGATCACTGGTTTTATTTAAGCAGTTTTGTGGTACAGGTAGTCCTCAACATATGACCACAACTGAGCTCAAAATGTCTGCTGCTAAGCGAGACAATTGTTAAATGAATTTTGCCCCACTTTACGACCTTTCTTGCCACAGATGTTAAGTGAATCACTGCAGTTAAGTTAGTAACATGGTTGTTATGTGATTCTGATTTACCCGCCGTCTTTGCTTGTTGGAAGGTCACAAAAGGTGATCACATGACTCCAGCACACTGCAATGTCATACAGACTAGTCAGTTGCCAAGCGTCTGAATTTTGATCATATGACCCTGGGGATGCTGCAATGATCATAAGTCACTTTTTTTCAGTGTTGTTGAAAGTTTGAACGGTCACTAAGTGAACGGTAAGTCAAGGAGGACCTGTATTGCACAACTATTTATTATATATGTTACTGGAATCCCAGAATCGCAGGTATTTGGCTATAGTATTTATTTTTAATAAATAGAGACTTGATGCTATCAGAGAACAGGCCTGGACAGCACATTTACCAAATAAATAAGCCTTCCTTTGAGAGGTAGTATCCAGTATTTCCTCTTATATGAGTAAATCTGGAATCCATATAATTATTTTTTTCCATTTAGGTAAAATCCTAAGATGAACTGAAGTGATGCAAATATGCAGTTTAAATTTCATTCAAATAAAAGTCAGTGAAAATCATCTTGATGTAAGATACTTAGTTTCTCAGGTTCTGGTCTCAGTTTTGTAGGTTAATGGGCTGTTTATATCACAGCACCGTAGAAGGTGTTTGGCTGAAGTAGGGCGAGGTTGAACAAAAGGTTTTAAGGGATCCCCTTGCACTTGGAGACAAAAACCTAGAAGTAATCTACAAGTACATGGATTTTTAAACACTATATAGTAGAGCTTGGAGTATGGGAAATAAGCATGCATTTAAATTATTTTTTTAATCAATATTTTATTAATTGTTTTATAGTCACAAATCCTTAATATTTTATCAGCAACATGTTGTCTGGGTTCCAATATTTAGCTTACTAATGCATGTTAAACTTCTTTCTCTCTACCTTGTTTTTCTAGCCATTGATAAAATGTATCCCATGTTCTAAAATATTCTGAATCTTTTTTCTCTTTCATTTTCAGTGTCAGTCTGTCCATTTCTGCACAGTCCAAAATTTTCTTAATTATCTCTTCCTCCACTGGTAGTTCTTCATCTTTCCAATGTTGAGCAAATACAATTCTCACTGCAGTTAACATATGTAACATTAAGTATACACATTCCTTCTCATAATTTCCTACAATTATACCTAACAAAAATAATTCTGACTTAAAATCTATGTGCTTTTTAGTCATTTTCTCTAACCAAAATCTTTTGGCTTTAGGGCATGTCCACCAAAGATGATAGTATGTGCCTGGTTTTTGTCTACATTTCCAACAATTGCTAGACATATTTTTAAACATTTTTGCTAACCTCAAAGGTGTTAAGTGCCATCTGTAAAACATGTTATATAGGTCTTCCTTTTAAGCTACCGCCTTGTTATTTTAGAGTTTCTTTCCCAAAGGCTTTGCCAGTTTTCTAACTCTTATGTTATGCCCAAAGTTTTTGGCCCATATTACCATTGTTTCTTTAACTTGTTCCTCTTCCATCTTTAAATTTACCATATACTTATACAGTTTCTTAATTAATTTTTCATCTGATGTCAATAGTATCTGGTCAAATTCTGTCTGTTCTTTGTAAAATCCAGATGTTTTAGCACCTTTTTCATATCTCGTTTGAATTTGCAGATGTGCCCACCATGATAGATCAATGCCCTTTTCTTCTAGTTCTTGTTTGGTTTTTAGTTTCCCTTCAATAGTCAAAATGTCTTTATAAGTCACAATTTTCTCATAGTTAATTAGGTTTGGGTGAACAAACACTTCCATTGTTGAAAGCCATCCAGGTATTTTCATGTAAATTTTTGCTTTTACCTTTTCCCATTCTGGAAGAAGTGCATTTCTTATATAATGGTTTTGAAAGTATCTATGTATTTTATTCTTTCCATAACACAGGAAGGCATGCCATCCGAGTTGTAGGTCATGCCCCTCTAGGTATAGTAATCTTTTATGTCTAAGAGTTTTCCATTCTTTTAACCATGTTAATACAGATGCTTGATGATATAAAGCCCAATCTGGCAGCCCAAATCCTCCATTTTCTTTCGCTTCTTGTAGCATTTTCAATTTAATTCTGGCTTTTTTTCTTTGCCAAATAAATTTCAAGATCAATGTATTTAATTCATCAGAGAATTCCCCCCCCCCAGATTTATAGGTATTGTTTGAAATAAAAAAAAGTAATTTTGGTAAAATATTCATCTTCACCGTTGCTATTCTCCCTAGCATTGAAAGTTGGAAATTTTTTGATTTTTCCAAGTCTAGTTTTATTTGTTTTAATAATTTTACATAGTTGTCTTCTTTTATTGTTGCACATCTTGCGGTTAAGTATATCCCCAAGTATTTAACTTTCTTGACTATTTGAAGATATGTTTTTTTCTGATAGTTGGTTTTTTTTGTTTATCTGTAAGGTTTTTAGTTATCACTTTGGTCTTTTCTCTATTTATTTTCAGTCCTGCCACTTCTCCAAATTCTTCTATCTTTTTCAAAAGTTTGAGGCTTGTCTCAAGCGGATCTTCTAATATAAAGACCAAGTCATCCGCGAATGCTTGTAGTTTATATTTTTCATCTTTTATCTCCATTCCTTTAATTTCTGAATCTTGCCTAATATTTCTATTCAATATTTCCGGTGTTAATATAAATAATAATGGGGATAATGGACATCCTTGTCTTGTGCCTTTGTGGCTCATACTCATGCGATCGTCCACTAGGACTCCAAGGTCCCTCTCACAGTTACTGTTTTTGAGTCAGGTCTTGCCTAATCTGTACTTATACCTTTGAGTTTTCCTGTGTAAATGTAAAATTTTGCTCTTCTCCACATTACATTTCATTTTGTTGGATAGGGCCCATTGCTCAAGTTTGTCAAGATCTTTTTGGATCCTGAGCTTGTTAGAATAGAATAGAATAGAATAGAATAGAATAGAATAGAATAGAATAGAATAGAATAGAATAGAATAGAATAGAATAGAGCTCGAAGGGACCTTGGAGGTCTTTTAGTCCAGCCCTCCGCTTAAGCAGGAGAACCTACACCATCTCAGACAGGTGATTGTCCAGTCTCTTCTTAAAGATCTCCAGTGATGGGGTGCCCACGATCTCTAGGGGTAGGCTGTTCCACTGGTTGATTGTCCTCACTGTCAGGAAGTTTCTCCTTAAATCCAGGTTGCTTCTCTCCTTGATCAGTTTCCAAGCATTGTTTCTTGTCCTTCCCTCTGGTGCTCTGGTGAACAACCTGACCCCTTCTGCCTTGTGGCAGCCCCTCAGATACTGAAACACTGTTATCATGTCTCCCCTATTTCTTCTTTTCTTTAGACTAGCCAAACCCAAGTCCTGCAGCTGTTCTTCATATATTTTAGCCTCCAGGCCTTTGATCACCCTAGTAGTTGCTCTTCTCTGTTTTTTTTCCAAACTCTCAACATCTTTTTTGTGATGTGGTGACCAGAATTGGCTACAGTATTCTAGGGCTTTGTAAAGCGGTATCAGTACTTCTCGTGATCCTGATTCTATGCCTCTGTTTATACAACCCAGAATTGTATTAGCTTTTTTGGCTGCTGCTGCACACTGCTGGCTTATAGTCAGATGATGGCCGACTAGGACTCCAAAGTCCCTCTCCACAGTTACTGTTTTTAAGCTGGGTCTCACCCAATCTATATTCATCTGGTTTTTCCTGCCTAAATGTAAGATTTTGCTTTTTTCCACATTGAAACTCATTTTGTTGGATAGGGCCCATTGTTCAAGTTTGTCAAGATATTTTTGGATCCTGAGTTTGTCTTCTGGAATGTTGGCTATTCCTGACAGTTTGGTGTCATCTGCAAATTTGATTAGTTCCCCTTCAGTTCCCTTGTCTAAGTCATTTATGAAGATGTTGAAGAGTACTGGGCCTAAAATGGAACCTTGTGGTACCCCACTGCTTACTTCTCTCCATGTGGATGTAGTGCCATTGAGGACTACTCGTTGAGTGTGGCTTGTCAGCCAGCTACAGATCCATCTGGTGGTGGTGTTGTCTATTCCAGCTTTTCCTAGTTTGTCAATTAGTAGGTTGTGGTCTACTTTGTCAAATGCTTTACTGAAAACTAAGTATAATACGTCCACTGCGTTTCTCTGGTCTACTAGTTTAGTGACTTTATCGATGAATGAGATAAGATTGGTTTGGCATGATCTGTTTTTAACAAACCCGTACTGGCTACTAGTTATGTGTTGGCTATTCCTGCCAATTTGATGAGTTCCCCTTCTATTCCCTCATCTAAGTCATTGATGAAGACATTGAAAAGTACTGGGCCTAAGACGGAGCCTTGTGGTACCCCACAGCTTATTTTTCTCCATGTGGATGTAGTACCATTAACGACTACTCATTGAGTGTGGTTTGTCAGCCAGCTACAAATCCATCTGGCGGTGATGTTGTCTATTTCACATTTTTCTATTGTACCAAAAAGTAGGTTGTAGTCTTCTTTGCCTTACTGAAAGCAAAGTATACTATGTCCACAGCATTTCACTGGTCTACTAATTTAGTCACTTCATCAAAGAATGAAATGAGATTGATTTTGCATGATCTGTTTTTAACAAAGCCATGCTGGCTACTAGTTATAACTTTGTTTGCTTCTAGTTGTTCGCAGATCTGTTTTTTAAATTATCTTTTCCAGGATCTTCCCAGGTATTGATGTTTGACTGATCGTTCTATAGTTTCCTGGGTCTGTTTTTTTCCCTTTCTTGAAGATGGGAACCACATCATCCCTTTTCCAGATACTTCCCCAGTGCTCCAGAATTTTTGAAAGATATAGTACACTGGTTCTGAGATAACATCTGCCAGCTCTTTCAGAACTTTGGGATGTAATCTGTCAGGTCCCAGTGGTTTATATTCGTCAAGGTCGGATAGGTGTTCTCTTACTATTTTCTTGCTTATTTTAATTTTTATTTCTAGTTCGTCTTTTACAGTAGTTTTTTTGGTACGTTGGACTAAAATTTCTTTCTGTATGAAGACTGATGCAAAGAATGAGTTAAGCAGCTCTGCTTTCTCCCTGTTGCCTATTACTTCCTTGCCATCTTCTCTCTTTAATGGACCTACAGTTTCCTTGACTTTTTTCTTGTTACTAATATGTTGAAAGAATTTTTTTTATTGTCGTTGATTTTTGCTGCAAGTTTTTGTTCACCTGAACCTTTGCTTTCCTAACTTCATCTTTGCATGTTCTGGCTGTCTGCTGATAATCAGCCTTAGTTATGTGTCCCTCTTTCCATTTTTTGTACTTGTCCTTTTTGTCTTTCAGTTTGTTAGAGAGATCTTTGTGCAGCCATGCTGGTTTCTTCTTGAATTTCTTGTTTTTCTTTTTCAGTGGTATTGTGCTGGAATGGGCTTTTATGATTGCATTTTTCAGAGTTTCCTACACTTCTTGAGTTGTTTTCCCCCTTTAGAATTTTCATCCATGGAATCTTTCGTAGGGTCTCTTTGAGTTTGTTAAAATCAGTTCTTTTAAAGTTTAAGACACTGGTTGGATTATTTTCTATTGTTTGTGTTTGCATTATATTGAATTCCAGTATGACGTGGTCACTTTCATCCAAGGTTCCAGCAACTTCAACTCCCTCTATCATTTCTTCTCTGTCAGAATTAAATCCAGTATGGCTTTACATCTAGTTCCCTCCTCCACATTTTGGGTGACAAAGTTGTATCACTTCTTCTGTATTAGTAAGAATTAGGTCCAGTATGGCTTTACTTCTAGTTCCCTCCTCTACCTTTTGGGTGACAAAGTTGTCAGCTATGTTGGTTAGGAGTCTGATCTCCCACTCACTGCAGAGTTTGTTTCTCAGTTGATATCTGGATAGTTGAAGTCTCCCATCACAACTGTGGTATGCTTCCTACATACATTTGTTAATTGGTTGGCAAAGCATTCATGTATTTCTTCTGATTGGTTGGGTAGCCTGTAATATACACCTATGGCAATGTCACCTTTCCCCCCTTTTATATTGACTCATTTACATTCTGGAGGGGTTTTATCTTTGATCATGTGCATTTCTGTAGATATGTAGTGTTCTCCTACATATAGTGCAACTCCACCTCCTCTTTTTGTAGATCTATTTCTTTTAAACAATTTGTATACATCTATCAGTACATTCCAGTCATG